TCAGTTAGATGGGGGAGCAAGTTCAAGAGATCTAGTGTATGTCACGGTGACTATGGTTAACAATGTATTGTGTACTTGAAAATTGCTAAGAGAGTAGATTATAAGTAGATTGTGTTTTGTGTAACCACAAAAAAGTGATTTCGTGAGGTGACGCATCTGTTAAATAGCTTGACTTAGCCGTTCCACAATGTGTACCTGTATCAGAACATCAGGTCATACACCATAAATATATACAATTTTAACTTGTCAATAAATAAATATTTACCAAAGTATGTTTCTCAGAACAGCTGTTTGGGGAAGACACTCCACAAAAGAGGGGTTCTTTAGTCAATACATTTGGGGAATTCTGCAAACAGCACGCCCTCTTTTCTGTCCTCCGTCACACACTAGCATACTGGAGGCCCCAAGAACTCCTGGCAGAAAAACCTGTGAACTTAGTTTTAAAATCAGTGAGTTGCATGCTTTCATAGTTGTCTGTTTTAACCCCTGACACCCCCTCTTCCCCACTTAACCTTCCCTGAAACCAGTGCTGTGCTGGGCCACATGGGAGTTTCTGCCAAACTGCAGCCCCAGGGCGGACGCGAGAGGAAACCTTGCTTGCCTGTGTCTGCTGGGGTGATGAGTTTACCCGTCTCTCTGATCTCTGTGCTTTTCTTCCTTTTCCCCTTCTGCCAGGGTTCTAGCCTACCCATCTAGCCCAGCGATGGCCGTGGACATAGAGTACGGGTTCAACTGCATGGCCCCTTCCTTGCGCCGGGAGCGGTTCGCCTTCAAGCTTTCCCCGCAGCCCAGCAAACCTCTGCGGCCTTGCATCCAGCTGAGCGGCAAGAGCGAAGCTGGTGGCATGGTGGCCCCGGCTGTCCAGGAGAAAAAGGTGAAAAAGCGAGTGTCCTTTGCAGACAACCAAGGGCTGGCCCTGACAATGGTCAAAGTGTTCTCCGAATTTGATGACCCGTTAGATATTCCGTTTAACATCACCGAGCTCCTAGACAACATCGTGAGCTTGACGACAGCAGAGAGCGAGAGCTTCGTCTTGGATTTTGCACAGCCTTCTGCAGATTACTTAGACTTTAGAAACCGACTTCAGGCCGACCACGTCTGCCTCGAAAACTGCGTGCTGAAGGACAGAGCTCTTGCAGGCACAGTCAAGGTGCAGAACCTTGCATTTGAGAAGATGGTGAAAATAAGAATGACATTTGACACTTGGAAAAGCTTCTCAGACTTTCCGTGTCAGTACGTGAAGGACACTTACGCTGGCTCAGACAGGGACACGTTCTCCTTTGACATTAGCTTACCCGAGAAAATTCAGTCTTACGAAAGAATGGAGTTTGCTGTGTGCTACGAGTGCAATGGACGGACGTACTGGGACAGCAACAAAGGCAAAAACTATAAGATCATCCGAGCTGAACTGAAATCCACCCAGGGGACCACGGAGCCACCAAATGGGCAGGATTTGGGAATATGCTTTGACCAGTTTGGAAGCCCTCGCTGTTCCTATGGTCTGTATCCGGAGTGGCCCAGTTACTTAGGATACGAAAAGCTGGGGCCCTACTATTAGTGACTGCAGGTGACGGAGCAAGCCTGGGCTGCTGGCAGACAAGCCTGGCTCCGGTCTCAATGCAGTGGAGATGGAAGCCCAGGGAGGAGCAAAGTTGAACTGCCATTAGGCACAGTTTTTGAAAAGAAAGGATCCTAGTCACTTTCTTCTTAAACCAGCAAATCCAGCCCGGTTTAGATCACAGAACCGGTTTCATACCCAGAGGAGAGGTGGCATGCTCGTTATCTGTCTGGCACCGGTGGCAGCCACAAGGCTATGCGCAGGATGGTGCTGGAAAGGGTTTGGATAGGACCCAAGCCTGCGGGCAGTGCTGGTGAGGCCACAGGAGCCTCGCCTCTCTCCACTCAGATGTGGAAAGGCAGTCACCCCAGCATCGCTCAGTCCCCAGCCACCTCCCACCATGCACGCCCGTCTTTGGGTGTTCCTCACCAGCCAGGCCTTTCCTGCGTGTTGCTGCTGTTCCACGTCTGCACATACTTCACAGCTTGTCTCTGTGCCGTGATCCATTGTCCCGACATCATCCATTTCTAATGCAGCTGCAGAAGAGAGGTGGAATCTGCTCCTTATTCTGCAAATTCATTTTTTGCATTTCTTCCACAGTTCATCCAACATTCAGGAAAAGATAATAAAGGCAAGTTAGCCTGTAATGGAGACAGGCACTTCCTCTCCACTCTTCCTGACCCCACACACATTTCCAGCAGAGGGAAACACAGCAATTATCACAAGTCACTGGCTCCTGCTCAGTGTCGCAGATTTTAGGCAGGACGATCATGAGTGGGACATGTTTAGCTTTTCCTCTTGGCTTTTAGGAGAACTTTCTAAGTATTCACTTTTACCCTGAGTCACTAGAAGGCTCTATTACAAGGTTTGTTTTAACTTGCTTGACTGGTTTGCAAGCATCTCATTCTTTACAAAAGAACTTTAGATCTCCTTTCCTGGACAATCACCTTTTATGCTGTGTTTAGGACATTTGATTTACAAATCCACTGCATCCTCGAAGTCTTCAGAAGATGTTTGGTTTTATATCGACTGCAATTTAACAATATCCAGGACACTTTACAAGCACCCAAGGACATTGATTTGGGTGTTCTTATTTATGGCGTGAGTACATAAAGGGATAGGGGTTAAAAACCTCACCAAGTTCTCAAATGTTATTTTAAATGTTTGCCAACTCTGAAACATGAGATTAATTGCTCTTAACCATATTGGGCTAAAGTCTGTTGGTTAGTGCTGTTGTAAAAAAAAAAAAAACTCCCGGGACATTTATTGTCAGATGGATCCCCAAAACCTGTGATTTTTCTTGGGCAAGTTGGTTTTTACTTAGGGGTGTTTTAAAGATATTTTTACATATATATATTTGTAGAAAGTTGGGTTTTTTTTCTGTTTTGTTGTTGTTGTTGTTGTTGTTTGTTTGCTTGTTTTTGGAGTTTGGTTAAGTGACTTTTTTATTTTCTTTTTTGCCTGATTAGAAAAGACCTCCCTGTATCTGTGGCTTTGTACATCAGTATAAGGCAGATATTGAGTGCCTTGGCTCCTAGAGATTTATAGTTGGGGGTTATTTTGTTTTTTTCATTTTTGAACTTTAAAATGTTTGATATAATTCTTGTTCCTAAATCTGTCTGTTACTAGTCTGCAATCTAGTGCTTTGTGTTTCACGCCTCTTCTGGGTAGGTAGCACTCTGGGACTACATCATGTAATTTATGGGGAAATCACATTTTTATTTTATGCTGAAATCGGGCAGAACTGTGTTTTAGCTAAGCTTATTGTACATCAGGTATGCAGATGGTACTTTAAATGTTACAAATTTGGTGATCAGAACTATTAATAGCATAAGTCTAAATCAAATGGAAGCAAAACTGATTTCATGTAGGTCATGGATTTTATTTTGTGTTAAGAAGTGCCCCCTTCCAGTGTGGGAAAGGAACAAGACACACTGTCATTTACAAGTTTCCAGACCAAGGATCATTGTGTGTTCGTAAGAAAAAGGCCTCAAGTGACTCTAGAATAAACTCTGTTTGGTTTTTGTGTCATAATGATCCTAAGACATTCCCATGTCAAAATTTGAGAAATGGTAATTCAGTGATAAGAATCTCTTCTAAAACAGCCATCAAACCCTCCTCCCTAGCCTTCTTTCTCCCAGCTCACCCCAGCTTTTTTGCTGGGGGCACTGGTTGCCAGCCCCAGCCAGCACACCTGGGATGCTCACCCCACCTTGCAGTCCAGAAGGCAAGTCCTCACCTGCTTGCAGAGATCCTTCTTCCCCAATAAAAGAGTCTGCTTGCCCGACTTCCCTCATCGAGCTGTCACTCAGAGGTAGGAGCATCTGAAGAACACTGTCTCCTGTCTGTCTCCTGTTGACCACTCCCTCCCACCCCCCAGCACAGTCTTTCTCCTTCTGACCCAGTGTGTCCCGTGACATTCTCAGATGACCTCAGCCACTGCATCGATGGACTTGCCCCTTATGTCTTAGTTCACCATCGTAGATAGACCTACACATTTCAGAGGGTGACAGGTTTCCTAGTTGGAGACTTCACTGAGGCCTGACTTGTAGGTTTGCCATCTTGGTTATGGTAACGACTGGCTCCCAGTCTCATTGTCCTTCCCAAGTTACCCCAGAAGGACCAGCCACCTGTTACTGGTTCAGTTGTCCAGGAATGGGGAAGCAAATCCATTTCTGTCTCATATTTATTCCCCAAAATGCCTGGGGAGCATTTGCAAATTAGGTGCAATAAATAAGCTGGACTATATAAAGATCTACAGTAAATAAGCTTTTAATATTTCTTGGAAGATACAAAACATTTGAGTGGGTTTCTTCTTAAAAAAAAACAACTATTCTTGTTTTAGGGGAGCTGGTGAGAAATAACGGAGTTATTCAGTTCTCTAAAAATTAAAAGTTTCAGAGTCAAGGTAGAATTTATTTTGTCTCTAAAACTTAATTTTAATGGTGGTAAAACACTATATGTTTTTTAAAAGTGTAAATTTTGAACTATTAGGAAAATGCTTTGTGGTTTTTGATCTTTGCACATCATCTGCTTTTTAAAAACAAGCATTGCTTGTAGTCACCTGGACATTAAATGGGTTGTATATGCTTATAAACCAAAAAGTGTTTGCTCATTTTTTAAAAGTGCTCATATTCTGGGTCTTCCTCTCAATGGATAGTAAATGAAAGTTTTGATTGTCTTTCATTTGTTTCCTCTTTTAAAAATCCTCAATTGGATATAGGCCTGGAGGCTCTTTGCTCTGGGAAAGTCCTGATCTAATCGTCTCTCCTGCCATGATGGCTGAAATTGCAGATAAGAAGTTACACATGTGATGGAATCAGAGGACAATCTGGCAGTATCTCAATTTCCTGAAATGCAACAACGCATCTGGGACTGGGGAGGACAGTTACGTGGTGGGCAGTTTTTCCTCGCCGTGGCTGGCAAGCTGTGCAGCCCACGTCGCATGACTGGTTTTCCAGTTTGGGTGATCAGTACCCAGAGACTGTTGGACCTGAGGACTTCAAGATCACAGCTGGGATGGTGTTTCACTTTTACTTCAATGTGAATGTAGTACTAAGGACTCAATTGTATGCCAAAACGTGCCTTGTCAAGAAATTTCTGTGTGTTCTAAAAAATAAATATTTTTGTACACAAAGTTATAGGGGAAATGCACTTTAAAATCACAAGAATGGATGTTTGTTGTGTGGTAGAAAAGAGTGGTTTGTTTGTATCTCAAAAGCAAAAATGTAATAAAGGTATTGAAAACAAAACTGAAACTGTCATTCTGTTCTTAGAAGCAGCGGAAGGGGAGAGAGATGTTAAATCAGGTGTTTCCACATATAGATCTTAGGTCTCCAAAGGCACAACGTACATCACGATGGAAGGCTGAGTTAAAGCTGTAGGGCGTGGAGGAGGGGCAATTGCTTTTTAAGTTGTCTTGGCAATGCAGGCTGCTCACAGCTGAGAGAGATGTTAAATCAGGTGTTTCCACATATAGATCTTAGGTCTCCAAAGGCACAACGTATATCACGATCGAAGGCTGAGTTAAAGCTGTAGGGCGTGGAGGAGGGGCAATTGCTTTTTAAGTTGTCTTGGCAATGCAGGCTGGTCACAGCCGAGAAGGTAGTGCCAGGGAAGAGGTACAGGGGCAGGTGTCGTTCTGCACCCATTTTTGATGATCCAAGGTCACAGCTCTTCCTACCCTCTCACTGGCTCTGGAAGTATGGTGCAGACAAATGTATCCAGACAGATATGGGAAAACTGTCAGTGGCTGTCATAGCTTCTAACTGCTTGATCAGACAGCTGTAACCAGCAAAACGAACCCGCGTGGATAGTGGACATTCACCCTAAGTAAGATTTTCAGAGATGTTTCATTTTGAAGTTCTGAAGAAGGGATGGAGGGAGAGAGGCAGAGGTCTGCTGCCACCAGATGTTTCCTGTCAGCCCTCTGTCACCCTGGGGGAGTCACTAGTGGTTCTGCAGAATGGGGTAAAGCTTAGCAGCTAGTGTATAGGTGCAGACAGTGAGCTCCAAGCATAACTGTCTTTTTCAAGATTTTTAAACACTGCCTACAATTTGCCTTCCCAGAAATGAGAAGGGGGAAAAACAACATTGGTTTTTATGAATGTCTATTTGAGATTCAGTACAGTTTTTGTAATCATCGCATAATTATAAGTTGTGAGACAAACATCTCAGAGATGTCCGGAGTAAAAAACTAAAAGAGAAAAATACTTTCTTAGAGCAGTGTCCCCAGAATAGCAAATATCCAGCTCTGAATTATTCAGTTGAACATTTACTGCTTGTCTACCATATACAAGGCAGAGCTAGATGCTTTTGGGACCCAAACCCTAAAAGGGACATTCACATATTCTAGGTAGGCACGGAGAGCTACTGAGAGGTGTTGGAAGCCGGGAAGTCTGCGTCTGCTCTTAACTCTGCCACTGACCTTTCAGGCCTCCTGTCAACTGCTCTCCTGAAGGGCCCTGAGTGTGTTCAGCAGGAACGTGGTAACCAGGGCTCTAGCAGTGCCCTGAGTACTTTTGAGAGTCAGCCAACATGTTCATTTTTAAAAGGCTTCTAAATATAAACCCTTGTAAGAAGTACCATGTGCACTATCTGCGTTCTTCCCAAGAATCACAGGAGGGAACAGCATTCCAGACAATCGCTTGGGCTTCTTAAAATTGTCAGTGTCCAGACTGGAGGGGATAGCGGAGGGCTCTCTTTTTATGGATGAAGAGGTGACGGCCCTCAGTGAGTTTCATCAAGTCACAGAGCCTGCCGGGGACCAAGCCAGAGGACTTTTCTTTTTCCAAGAGCTGTCCCCCTGAACGGGACTGCATTTCACAGAACTGAGAGGCCAAAATGGTGATTCTGAGACGTAGTCCCTTATGCTGGAGAGATGCACTTCTCAGGGGAGGAGCGAACGTGGTCATCTTTGTGCAGGAAAAGGCACAGCCCTCCCAAGGGCTTCCTCAGCACATACGCGGACCACAGACCACGTGGAAGCTTACAAGTTAGAATCAAATGAAGTGAGCGGGCCTGATTGGACCTCAGGGTGTGACTGAAAGGAGACCACTAAGGGGGCCTGTGACTAGAGGGACGTTCCAGAA